TTCTCCTGCCTCAGCCTTCTGAGTGCTGGGATTGCAGGTGTGCACCATGAGGTCCAGCTGAAGATGTTTTTAAAAAGGGTACAAGAACCTGTCAAATGCTGCTGAGAAACAGCCTCTGTAGAAGACTGGTAATAGTCCCCTGGATTTGATAAAATGGCTATTTTTGGCATCAAGAATGATTTCATAGGAAATTAAGGGATGATTGGGGTAGTTTAAGAAAGAAAGGTGGGTGTTAAGGGTAATGGGTGGTCAGATGGGTATAGAGAACTCTTCAAAGAATCTTTGCTGTAAGTGCAAAGAATGGGATGGTGGGGAAAGCTTTGGGAAGGTGTTTAAATGGAAGATTGAAAATGGCAGATATGTTTGCAAGTATAAACAAACCGACAGAGCAAAACAAGGACTCATGAATGTGGTGCTAACTGCCGGAGTTGTGGAGGAGCAGGAGGGATGAATACTGATCTCAACTAGTTGGGGTGAGAGAGTAGAGACAATCCAGGCTTTAATAGGAAAAAAGGAAATTACCAGCAGTTATGGTTTGTGTCTGGATGTCCCCCAAAGCCTCACGCAGTCATAGGGTGGGCTTCTAGAGGTTGTGACTGATTCACGGTCCAATGCTGTGATTATGGATGTGAGTGCTACACCTGCCCTGGGGCGGGTAGTTTGCAAACAATGTAATGGAGCGAAGGAGGCTGCTGCTGCTTCCCCTTTTGTGCTCTTGCTGTTTTTGCTGTCTTCCGCCGCCATGAACTGTTGCCCTCTGCCATGTGCCACTCTGCCTTGCAGCCAGTTGAGTACGGACTGAAATCTCCACAATCTGGGAGCTAAATAAACCTCTTCTTCCTTAGTTTTCAGCACTTGGTATTTTGTCTCAGCAACGAGAGAAAAGTGACTAAGACATGTGTACAGATTATGTGTTGTTAAAGGATCTGGAGCAAGAAATTTCTGCTTTTTTCACTTTCTCAGTTAAAAAAAAGAAAAACAAAAAACAAAAAACAAAAAGCAAGCTGAGAGGAGTGAGGATACAGGCCTGAGCAGAGAGCAGGAGGGTGTGACTACTTCTCAGGCAGAAGCTAAGTGTGGAGTGACCAGAAGACCTGGTAAGGACTGCAGCACAGAGCTGTGGGCTCTTAGTTTTCAGGATCAGGAATTTAGAGTTAGCATGGTCACATGCTTCTCCAGCTGTGTCCAGTGGCTTCTGTTCAGAGAGCAGCGGGGTATAAAGAATATTCAAGTCTCCAGTTGAGAGAATTTAGGGGATGTGTGTCTTGTAACATTTATGCTGAACAAAGGTGAGGAGGGGTGAGTGCTGTAATCATCTGGAGACCCAGTATAGCAAAAATTGTTGGGAAAGATGTAATAAACACAGTAACTCACCCAGAGAAAGATGCCAGAACTTGAGGGTTTTTCAATGTTTTTCCATGCTGGTACTAGGGATTGAACCTAGGGCCTCAAAGCTATGCTAAGCTTGTGTTTTACTACGGAGCTACCCCCTCCCAGCTCCTGGAATTTGTTTTTAAGACTGGATCTTGTTATATTTCCCAGGCTGGCCTTGAGCTCCTGCCCGGCCTCAGCTCCTAAGCGTGCACACCAACACACCTGGTGAGAAACACATTTTGAACGTGGTAAGATTGAGAGCAGAGTTCTTCAAACTCACCTGCTGAGTTCCAGTAGTGGGTCTCGACATCAGAAAGTCCACTGCTTAAAATTAGCCTTGTTAGCCATGGCTGCACATTAGAAATTAGAATCATCTAGACTCTAAAGCTGGAAGTGAAAAGGCCAGACCTCACTTGCAGATTCTTATTTGGCCTGGTGTTTGGGGGCTGCCCTTAAGATTTTCATCAGAATTCTCCAGGAGACTCCCGTGTGCAGGTATCATCAATAACTTGGTCCAAAAAGACACTGACATAAAAGCTCAATGACAGAACTGATGGTGGGAAGACAGTAAGTCACACACTAGAATCTAAGAACCGGGGAGGAGGGTATGAGATCAGACGTGATAAATGACAGCAAGGTAGGGCAGGCAGTGGCACGGTCCAGTGTTAACAGAAAGCATTTGCAGGAGAGGAAAATGTTCATGCAGCCACGTACACACACACACACCTGTTTATGCAATTTGTTGGTAGGTTACTAATCTTTCACTTTTTTTTGGTCACTGGGGATTGAATCCAGGGCCTTCCCACTGAGCTATATCCCCAGCCCTTTTATTTTTAGACTGGGTCTCCCTAAATTCCTAAACTGTCCAGATCAGGCTGGATTCCCCCGCCTCGGCCTCCCAGTGTGCTGGGGTTACAGATGTGGGCCACTGTGGGGGGCCTGCCCGAGGAGTGAGTAGTTAAACTGCAGGGCAAAAGCACACAGGCTGTGAGGAGTAAATGGTTAACTACTGAAGCACACTGTTTCTGGCCATTGTCCTCCTTTCTGCAAGAAAACTGCCCGGCCTCGAGACAGCTCCTTGCCCAAATTGCTTTTCTTCTTTTCCCTCTTGCACTGATATTCTTCTCGGCCTTGGTGATATTCCTGGGAGTCTCCCTAACGCTGGGTGCTCTCAGCTGAGAAAGCCCCACTGGGCCTCTGTGACTGAACTAAGTTTCATCTTTCTTCATCCTCTACTGCCACAGGCGCACATGTGACTAGCCACCATGTCTGGCAACTTTCTTATATTTTGATCTAACTGGAAATAAATGAAATTTAGATGAAAACAAAATCTGGGAGGCTGACGTGGGAGGATCACAAGTTGAAGCCCAGCCTAGGCAACTTACTTAGTGAGACCCTGTCTCAAAATAAAACTAAAAAATTTTAAAAGGACTCGGGATCTAGCTCAGTGTAAAGCACCTAAATTCAGGGATTTTCCCAGTCCCACCATGATAAAGTCTGATTTGAATACATTTTAGTAAGAATACTGCTAATATGAAATTAGAAAAAAAACTATTTGTAAGAGAAAATAAATTGGAATGTTTATTGGTAAATCAACGTCAAGCTCCATAATTTAAAATTATTTAAAACAAAACTAAAAACATCTGTAAGAGGTCAGAACATTCAGTATTTAAAATAATGTTTTAAAAATTATAGTATCATGGTTATGGAAACAACAATTATGGCAAGCTATACAGTTTTAAGTATAAAAAATGTTAAAATGAAGTATCTAACAAAATATGTCTTGCTGTTGCTTTGGGGGAAAGGTGGGGACAAACATTTTTTATTTACATATATTTATTAAGAGATTTTCCATATGACATTGCAAATAGTCCCACTTCTCTTGTATTATACTGTAATACATGAATTCACAGACAGGACACATACAACTGCCAAGGTGGTGGGAGGGCAGCCACCACACGCCCAGGATGCCGGAATGACGACGGAAGGCGTCCCCGAACGCCTGGGCACACTAGTGACAGATAAAGCGCACTGCCCACCTCCAGGACACACACAGGAGCTCCGCTTTATTCAACCACGGGGGAAACAAAATATAATTGATTGTTTTTAAGTTTCTTCTCAGTCATAATGAACTCTATTAGAACAGGTTTTTCTTCGGATGTGTATGGCTTAAACACAATTAAATTTCATATCTGATATTCTATTTTGTACTTCCATTATTAATATATGTATAAATTTTTACATTTTTAAAAATTACAATTTTGAAAATGAATTGTAAAGAGCTATTTTCAATTTATATCCCCAGGGTCAGCATTTACACACTATTCTGGAAGACTGATAAATTATAACATATAGGTAGATGCAGCAAATTGATACGGCTTAATGTATACTAGAATTTTACCAAAATGATTTACAATGTCTACCTCAGATACTTTTAAATTCACAAATTTTAGACTAATACACTGAGAAATTTTATTTACTGAAAAAACTGGCCCAAACTTATGTTCTATGCTTTATAAAAACTCTAAATGTAACATTTAGTTTGATTTTCATAGAACCTGTATTATGTGATGAGCCCATGTAATAGTCAAAATAATATATCATATATAATATAAGTGTATCTTTCTCATCACAGTTTTTCTAGGTGGTGATAATTAATTACACATGGCAATAATTATTTTCTCAAGCCCTCCGATACTGACTAGACTTGAATATATTCCCCTTGATGACAGACAGCAAATTTGTGAATAACTGATTTTACAGTGACAAGAATGCATGATGCACAGAATCAGAGGTGATGTTTCTTTGTGAACGGATTATAATATGGGTTGCAAACACAGGCATGGAAACTGCAAACACGTTAAAAACAAGTATAAAAATATTTACATACATTTATCGTGGCTCATTGAAGCACAATGTGAATAATATCTTATATTACTTCACAGTATAAGTATATTTTAAGGAGTAATTTAAGAATAATAAAATATAAATATCACATCAGTTAAGCATAGTAAGCATATTAATACATATTTGTTCTGTCACATATGAAAATATACACCTAGATACAATTTTTTTAAACCAAAAATTTTTACATAAATATTCGCTGATTTAAATAAAAGTTGATAGAGGTAGGATCTGTGTCCATGTTCATGATTTTCAGGAATGAGTACTTCAAATAGTTCAGTACTGCTGTGTTCTTTCAAAAATCCACATAGGAATTCATGGAAGACCATTATTCTGAAAAGGGAGAGGAAAGGGAAGTGAGAGAAATACGAGAAACAAGGTTACTCAGTGTACTCACAAAAAGCTGCAGTTCAGCAATGTTTGCATTTCAATCTCTAATAAAACCTTGGGCCCACAGTTGTTATACTGAAAAAAGGCTATTCTATTTCTTGAAGTTAAGAAGGACTGCTTTTCTTTACTGTAATATATGAATTCACTCAGAGGAGATGGGACACATGCAACTGCCAGGGTGGTGGGGGAGCCGCCACCCGCCCAGGATGCCGGAATGACGACGGGGGGCCCCCCGAACGCCTGGGCACACTGGTGACAGGTGGGTGCTCTGCCCACCTCCGGGACACACACAGGAGCGCCGCCGTGGTTGCCTTCTTCACACTTTCTGTAATTTACGTTTTCTCAGTGGACATGTGTGAAAGCGTGATGTATTAAGAAATACGTATTCGGTTTCTTGTCCCTAGTTCCTGACACAGCTCCTTGGAATCTCCGGAGTCCCAAGCGTCTTCGGTATGCAAATGGACGACCGTGGCCGAGGTCCCCAGAGCCTCAGGACAGGACGGGACGGGACGAGGCTGGTCAGCGGAAAGACCGAGGCACGGTCTGGGCTGGGGAAGGCCCGGTGGCTGAGCTGATCACCAGAGGCCAACGATTGAGCGGGTTACCCGTGTGAGAAGCCTCCACAAGGGCCCGCACGGCCCGGGCCAGGAAGCTTCCGAAGGCCCACCGCGGACGTGCCCAGCGGCGGGTGGTGAGGGCGTGGAGCCGCACACTCCTGCCACGCCGTGGCCGTTCGTGCGGGTCCTTTGAGACACATGGGTAAATGGGGAAATGCTTCCTGGCGTTCCACGGTGCCCTAGCCGGTTTCCTGAAGCAGGGAGGGGGCTGCGGAACCTGGACTCGCACCAGTGCCACGGTCGGCCCTCGGTGCCCCCTACAGCCCCAGGTGCTCAGAGGCAGGGTTCTGGGAGGGGGCTGAATCTGGGGCCACTGCAGCTGCCGTGCTGTCAGGGGTGGGTTCAGGTCAGAAGAGGCCGGTCACCGGCCGCGGCCGCGAGGGTGCAGCTCCTCTCCCTAGCGCTTCCCTGCCGGTTCCGAGCGCCATGACCCGAGCACCTTCCCCTGCGGCGGCCCTTCCGCTGCGCCTCCTGGTGTGAAAGGCCCCTAGCAGGGAGTGAGACTTGAGGGAAGAGGGTCACAGCCTGGGCCTTGCGACTGGCCCCCGAAGTGGGAGCGAGAGGCCTCGCGGCACTGGGCCCTCCGGTGGGGTCTGGCATCGCCTCCGGGTACAGAGCGAAGAGTCACCGCGCAGGCTGCCCGGCGGTGTGTGGCGGAGGAGCTGGTGTTAGACTGTCGCGCTAACTGCGTGTGAGAGGAGAAAACATCACGCATCAGAGAACTACAGTGAACAAAGTTAGAACGTAGACGGATTAGGTACTAACCATGAGACGCTGACATGAGAAACGGCTTCACAGTTAACAGTCATTTGAGTGCTGATAGGGAAAATCCTTTCTCATTAGTTTTGTGGCAGTATTTAGAAAGCATGACTGGAAATGGGTTACTAGGTAAGTCTCATTAGGATGCTCTGACAGTTAATTATAAATTATGGCCAAATTAACCGCTGGGGGTTTGTTAGTGCATGTATGAGGAAGCCGGGTATGATTAGAAAATGGAAAGTAAGTCTTGGTGATACTGTGGGGAAGAGCGTTGACAGGACAGGAGTAATACAGCCACGTGGAAAGCAGTTTGGCGGGTCCTCAAAAAGACAGACAGAATGACCACGCAGCCAGCACCTCCACACCTATGTATATAACAAGAGATCTGAAAACGGACTAACATGCCCATTAGTACTGCATACCAATGTTCAGAGCAACAGTATTTACAACAGCCACAAGTAAACAGCCCTAGTGTACCTAGTGATGAAAAGATTGCAAGAGAAAAAAAGGTGTATCCTATACCACAGATGAAAACATGACCCGAAGCAAAACAAGCCAGGCACAAAAGGGCAAATGTACGATTTCACGTACATGAAAATTTAGAATAGGCAGATTCATAGAGACAGAAAGTTACAGACAGTGAGACAGTACACGTTACCAGCGAACAAACAAAATAAACAAAAAATAAAAACTAATAAGTTATTGGAGGCTGAGAAGATGAGAATGAGGAGCGAAGATCACTGGCGAGTGGGTGCAGAACTTCTGTTCCAGGTGCTGAGCAGACTCGACAGTGGTAATGGCCTCAGAACGCCGTGCAGCTAACGAGTACCACCGGGTTACACATTTAAAAGCTAAGATGACAAAGTTCACGTTAAGTATTTTATCACCGTTTTAAAAAAGTTTGTCACAGATTTAGGGATTGGAGGAATGCACTCTTTTCTACATTAGTGATACTTATTTTTATTTATTGTTTGTGGTACTGGGGATCAAGCCTAGGGGTGCTTTTCCACTGAGCTATAGCCTTAGCCATTTTTATTTTTTATATTGAGAGATCTCACCAAGTTGACCAGGCTGGCCTTGAACTTGCCATCCTCCTGCTTCAGCTGCCTGAGTAGCGAGGATCACAGGAACTGTACTATACTTCAGTGGTTTTTAAAGAATAGTTTGGGAGCCAGGCATGGTGGTGCATGCCTGTAATCCCAGCGCTTGGGAGGCTGAGGCAGGAGAATTGCTGTGAGATTGAGGTCAGCCTGAACTACATAGTGATTTCAAGACTAGCCCAGACTACATAGTGAGACCCTGTGTCAAAAAACCAACCAACCAATCAACACCCAATGGTCTGGGAGCTCAGCACCCTGTAATCCCAGCACTCAGGAAGCTGAGACAGGACAGAAGATCTGAGGCTAGCCTGGGCTAAACAGGGAGACCCTGTCTTCAAACAAACAAACAAACAAACAAATAAATCAGCCCCAAACAAAACAAAAACCCAGCCCCCCTAAAGATAATAGTGTACTATGTGGATGAGGATCCCTGAGATTCCCTAAAGCCCAAGCACATTTTTATAAAACCAAATAATTATTTGCCTCTTCCCTCTGGTTTCTCAAGGGTTACAGCTGAGTTTCCCAGAGGCTCCGTGACACTAAAGATCTGAGAGTAGATATGTCAGATTTGCAGGCCAAAGAGTCTACCCCAACTACTCAGCTCTGCCGCTGAAGAGAAGCGGTCTTACGGGAACAGAAGCGCTGGCTATGGCGCAGTGCGGCTTGTTACAAAAGCAAGCAGGGGTCGGATTTGCGCAGACCCCAGGTCACCAACCTCTGATCCAAACTGCATCTGTGGGTCCGGCATGAGAAAACACCTGTCACACTGTTACCAGGCTTTACCACAAGAAGGCGAACAGCCACCTGATCACACTCAAAAGAGCGCAGCAACTTAGAAGTTGTGAGGACACAGGCCCTCAGCAAGCACTGCAGCAAGCACTGCTTCTCGAGGTGAAAGAGGAAAACATTTTACTCAAACGAAAATAACGGCGGAAGCACAGCCCTCAGGAATCACTTAACCTCGGCCCTACAAGCACGGGCATCCGTGTGTGAAAGCACAGCACGGAACTAACGTTCACGGTGAGGCTCCAGTCGCGGAGGGAACGTTAATCACCTTCCGTGTACAGCACTTCTGTTAAAAGAGGCAAAGACTCATCCGTTTAAGAAAGACAGGCTCAGCCATTTCTGTCGGTGAGTCTGCAGTTTTCAGCCCTCGCTGTCACACGCCGGGGCTGCCCACGCCGCTCTGCCCCGCATTCCCATGGCCAGCGCATCAGCGCGGCGCGGACCACCCTTTGTGTATCTACTAAAGCTTGACCATCTGCACAGGCATGACCCAGCACGTTCAGTCCCAGCGCAACCCAGAGCCCGCCGGACACTCTGGCACGCCCTGTGAAGTACTGAGCGCCTGCCCACCGCAGAGGGCGTACAGGGATCGTGGCCAGCTCGCAAGAAGGTGCAGCCGGAGGGCCACGGGATGCACGAGGACCCATGCCCGGACGGACAGCTCTCGCAAATGTATTTCATTTATAAAAGGGCCAGAATCTATGCTTTGCACAGTGAGGACACTTTCAAAGCAGGGCTTGTGGTTAGAAGGAAGCCTAAGAGAAGCAGTATTTTTTTTTTTTTTGTTTTTGTTTTTTCTGGTACCGGGAATTGAACTCACGACATCGCGCTTGCCAGGCAGGCGCTGTGCTGCTGAGCTAAATCCTCAGCCCCCAAGAAGCAGTATTTTTTAATTTTTTATTTATTTTATGGAAAAAAGGTAAACAAAATTTCATAACAAGATGACAGAATAACAAGTTAATATTTTGCATATTATAATCTTTAATATGGGCATAAAAATATAAGATATGGGCATACAAATTCTCCAACTGATATTAATGCAAATTTTCCTTTCCTATGAACTAAGAGACACTAAGATATAACCAACTTGCATTTTTTTCTCCCTTTCCCTTTCTTCCTTTTCCCTTTCCCAGCTCCCCTTTCCTTTTAAACCATTTCCCATTTCACAATACCCGTTGTACATTTTAGACCTTATTTACTCTTTCAATTTCTCACACCAGGAAGACAATATGATGTTTACACATGTGAATTTATTTCACTTATGAGTATGGTCTCAAGTTGCATCCATTTACCTAGAAATATCTCAAGTTTATCCTTCTTTATGGCCAAGTACCCCATTGTATAAAAATGCCACATCTTTTTTATCCATTCCTTAACTGATGGGCGTTTGGGTTGTTTCCAGGATTTAGCTATCAGTGGTACTGCTATAAATATGGGTGCACCCATATCGCTGTGGTATGATGTTTTAATTCTGGGGAGATACCCAAAAGGGGAATAGCAGGGTTGAACGGGACCTTTAAACCTAGCTTTTTGAGGAGTCTCTACAGATTTCCACAGTGGTTGCACCAGTCTACACTCCCACCAACAGTGGAGAAGGGTTCCTTTTTCCCCACACCCCCACCACCATTTGTTAATGGTCGATTTTTTGATGACAGTCATTCTTTCTGGGGTGAGATGGAATCTCAGTGCTGTTTTAATTTGCATCCCTTGAATGACCAATGATGAACATTTTTTCATGTATTTGTCATCTGTATTTCTTCATCTGAGAAGTGTGTATTCATCTCAGATGCCCATTTTTGGATTGGGACTTCGAAGTTGGGGGGGTCTGATTTTTTTTTAATTCTTTACGGTCTAGATAGAAGTCTTAGCTAAAATCTTTTCCTACTAGGTGGGTTGTCTTTTCACCCTGTTGGTGATTTCTTTTGATGTGCAAGTTTTTTAGTAAGATGAGATCCCAGTTGTTGCTTCTTTGAAGTATTTCCTGTGCAGTCTGGGTTTTGTTCATGAACTCTCTGCCTACCCCTATGTCTTCAAGATGAGAAGCAATGTTTTGTTTCTTGATCTGAGTGCTTCTCAGCTAGAAGTGTTTGGTTTGAAAGTGCACTGAGCTACACACCTATGACACGGCACCTTTTTGGAAGTATAACTTACTTTAAAAATCTGCCATAGTATTCAATATTATTATACTGATTCTAAACTGATTATACTATACTATTCATTTAAACCTCTTGTCTAACTCTGGTTCCTGCCCTCCTTTCCAATACGACCAGAACACGGTTATAATGTTAACCTCCCCTCTGCCCCCCATGAAAAGATTCTTCCATCTTAACCCCATCTTTGTATCTATCCTATACACAGAAAGCCCTGCAAGGGTGCTCTGTGACTTACAGAATGATCCACAATGTCTATTTTAGCCTCACATTCAATATACTTCATACACACCATTCTACCTTCCAAGCCTTTCTCCTTCCCTCATTATTACCCTACAACCTGCCAGGAGGAGTCTACTGTGCTTTTGTTCAAGCTTTTACTGCCTACTATTTGTAGCTGGAATTTGGTACTTCACAAAATACCACCCTAGGATATATCACATTATAACTTAATGCTTTGCTGTGCCTATCTTCTGTCTCTGATTTTTTTTGCAGTGCTAGGGACTGAACCCAGGACCCTGTGCCTGCTAAAGAAGTGCTGTTGCACTGAGCTATAACTTTTTCTCTTTTTAATTCAGGCTTTATTTCCACACAGTGAGATTCATAGATCATAAATGTTCAGGTCAGCAAGCTTGTACAGTTTTATATACCCATGTGACCACCGCCACCACAAGAGACCACTGCTTTGCTCAAGGAGGTTCTCCTGAACAGGCTTGCAGGGAATCTCCCGTCCCCTGACACAGACGCTACGTTCGGAGTTTTTGTAACCGTGGATTAGTGTTGCCTGTTTGTGATGTTACACACATACCTTTACGTTCTGGAGAATGCGAAGGAGACTTCAGAGTAGAGCTAAGGGGTGACGTAGGAAGACCATGCCGACGCATCTCTTGGATTGCTCGTTCTCTGTTGGTAAAGATCAAACAAGAGAGATTATACGCAGGTACATACAAAGTGGTATACTAATATAAGGTGCTACTGGTGCTCCTAATTAATGTCTACTAAGTCAATTAATTAGCATTTTTACCAAATTTATTTTGTTTTGTTTTTGAGACAGGGTCGCACTATGTTGCTGTCTTGGTTACTTTTCTCTCATTGCTGAGACAAAATACAGGACGCCCAGAATTAAGGAAGGAAAGGTTTATATAGCTTACAGTTTGTGGATGTTTCAGTCCATACTTGGCTGGCTCCAAGGCAGAGTAGCCTACGGCAGACGGCAACCATTCATGGCGGCAGAAAACAGCAAAAGCAACAAGAGCAAAAGGGAAGAGTGGCAGTGGGGGAGAGCAAGCCTCTTTCCCTCCTTTATACTGTATGCAAACTGCCCGCCACAGGGCAGGTGTAGCACTCACACCCGTAATTCTAGCACTGGATCACGGATCAATCATAAACTCTAGAAGCTGCCCCATGACTGCAGGAGGCTTTGCAGGGACAGCCAGGCACAAACCATAACAGCTGCCCACAGTGATCACCTGACCAAGTGACCACCTGAGCCTCCCAAGTAGCTAGGACCACAGCTGTATGCCGTCGTGCCCAGACTTAGTACTTTCACTGAATTAAAACTCTAAGTCTTTGTAGGATTTTTAAGTAGTGTGCAGAATATTTCAATAAAAATATGCACTGTAAGAGACCGTTCAAAGCAGTCATGCTGCAGCCACGTCTGACTAGTAGGACATCATTAAAATAACATTATAGAAACAAGATGGACATATTATATATAGTGAACAAAGCAGGATGCCAAAAGTACATTTAGACAAACACACACATAAACACAGGATGAGATGTCAGACTGAAAATGTTAACAATGACTCTTGGAGAACTCAGAATTTTCTTTTTTATACTTAAAAAATACAACAAACCTATGAATTTGTTCTTAAAAACTAAATGTCTCTATGTTAACAGTGAAGTTGCTCATCTCAAGCATTCTGTGGGATTTGGTTCTGCCATCCTCCCTCAGTTTCCCTGACACTACCATCTCCCGCTTCTCCTTCTGTTACTGTAACAGCTCTGAGTTCTTCTCTGAGTCTACATTCCTCACTGTGGTGTTCTCCAGGGCTAGGTTCATATTCTCTTCTTTAACGAGCCAATGACTACGCTTTTAGGTGCCAATGACTCTCCCAAGTCCACATCTTCAGTTCTGTCCTGTGCTCCAGGCTCATATAAAGATTTCTGTTGGGCCTCCCATAGGTGCCCAACGTACCCTCGATTACGTTTGTTTACTAATTCCAGTAAACAATTCCAGGCTACTTGCACATTCCATCCAATTCCAGGCTACAATACATTCCACCCTCCAGTGCGCCAATGAAAGCCCACACTGACCTCTACCCTAGTTACACACCGTTGTTAGATGTGTGTGCATGTGTCTTCTCATGATGAGTTTCCAGTAGTCGTTATTCATTTGTTTGCCCTTTGAGTAAACAGCTTCTAAACTGCTGATTCCCTCCTCTCCCTCTTCCTTTCCCATCTCTTACTGCACACAACCTGGCCCTCCTTCCTGCCTAAAAACTCCCAGTCTCAGTGGAAGGGGTCACGCAATATCACATCTTCCTTCCTGTGCTGGGGTCTGCCCCACCACGTAAAGCAACCACGCTGCCATCTCCTTTGCTATTCAGTTCCCAGTCCAGCTGCCTTGAGTTCTCCAGTACCCAGGATTTCTACTTAGTTCAGTGTTTCTCAAACTTTTTTCATTTTTATTCTCCAATGGAAATTATTCTCCAATAAACTTTGCCTTCTCAGATTACCCTGCTACTACAACAGTTTGCTATGGTAAACTATCATTCATATCTATCTATCTATGGTGGATATTTATTAGAGCTCATATGTATATAACCTAGGATTTTACTTTTTTTGCTACCTCTTTCCTCCACCTCTAAGAACCAATTGTGTCCCTTAGGGCAGAATGACACTGTCCTGAGAATGTATAACTTTGTGCACAGCAGGACAGAAGTGTCACGGTCCTGTGGTTCCAAGTTTCTTTGAGGGCCAAGGGTAAGGAAAAGGGCAGGAACTAAGGGGCGCCTGTGGTCTGGGCTACCGTGAAGGGCTGGATTAGGATTCAAACTGCAGAGAACCTGAGATATCACTAAGAAATGGAGATCATTATATATGTACAGTTCAGCATATTCAGAAGCTAGGTCTTCTAAATGACAAGAAATTAATGATACTGCTTCACGTCATTGGTATAACCTAAGGCTTCATTTCTCTGATATCATAAATACTGATTTTATAACAAATTCCCTCTCTACTTTAAGTACTGTATCACTTAAAAATTTTGATATAAAAGGTAAGAATACACAAACTCAAAAACTGACCTAATAAGCAGTTTTACCAGTATTTAAGAATGAAAGCTCAGGATGCTTTGGTATCAATACAGTAAGAGAGCAATTCAGTATGAACTAGGCATAGCAGTGTACACCTGTAATTCCAGCTTCTTGGAAGGTTGATGTTGGAAGATCACAAGTTTGAGGTCAACATAGGCAACCTAGCTAGACGGTCTCAAAAGAAGTATTTTTTAAAGGACTGGGGATGTGGCTCAATTTAAAGCCCTGGATTTAATCTCCAATATAAAAAAAAAAAGGAAGGGAGGGAGGGAAGAAGGTAACCTGGCAATTGGCAACTGATTTACAATTAAACTTTATTCCTTAAAGCAGGTCTGTCTTAGTTACTTTTCTCTTGTTGCTGAGACAAAATGCCTGATACCCAAAGTTAAGGAAGGAAAGGTTTATTTAGCTCACAGTTTGTGGAGGTTTCAGTCTGTAATCGGCTGGCTCCAAGGCAGGGTGGCACATGGCACAGGGCAACACTTCAAGGCAGCTGAAGACAGCAAAGCAACAGGAGCAGAAAAAAGCGGGGAGAGCAAGCCTCTTTTCCTCCTTTATTGGGTGTGTGGGTGTGGCACTCACATCATCTCTGCCCTCTTGCACAGGCTCAGGATGGATACAAACTGAAGTCCCTGCTCCTTGCTGAGTCACTCAGTTAAGCTTCTCAAGTTGACACAATGAACAGCATCCTACAGAGGTAAGGGCATGTCCTCCACACACTCCAATGCAGACTGCGGAGTTACTTAGTTAAGCTTCTGGACTTCTCAAGTTGATACATGTATCAACTGTAGCGAGGTCTCATTTGTGTTTGTAAAATTTAGGGATTAAAACTTTCAACATAAAGCAAATGAACTGAAATGTGAGTCATGGAAGTAGTAAGGGGTAGGAACTGTACTGTGAAGACGAAGAGCACAGGCTGTAGAAGCAGATATGGCTGCGTTTCAGTTTTGACTCTGCCACTCACAACTGTGTGACCTCCACTTCCTATAATGTAGGCGTGAGATTACTGATGGCGTTAACCAGACACACACTTGGTGCTTAGCACGAATTTGTTAACTGGTCTGTGAGGATGATCACCAACACTGCCTTTATGATCACCTGGGATTTACAATTTGGACCATACTTTGGAGGACTCTGGTAGGGACTGCTGTGGATTCCGTCTATAACTTCTGAAGCAATGCTCTAATTTTGCCTTGTGGAATGCTATCGAGCCATTTATAAACATGTCCTATTGTTTACTATAGGGGTGTAATCTTCCATAATACTTGTCCCTCTCCCCTTCTTTTTTCAGTACTAGGGATTAAGCCCAGGAGTGCTCTATGCTGAGCTATATCCCCAGCCATTTGTACTTTTTGAGACAAAGTCTCTAAGTAATCTGGGCCAGCTTCAAACTTGCAATCCTCCTGCCTCAGTCTCCAAGTAGCTGGGATTACAGGGTTTGTGCCATAGTGCCTGGCTACTTGCGGTCTTTTTATGAATTACCAAAAATTTTTATTTACATATCAATGCTAAGAGTAAGTTTGCTATTTGCAAGCCATACTAAATCCTTTTCAGAACAGGACAGAGAATACATAAAAACAAGGTTCAATGCTGCAAATTCTTTTCTTACCGTTCATATCTCTCTGTTGAAATTTGCCTTTTTAGAGTATCATAATCTGTTTGTAACTGTCCCACTTTAGTTCGAAGTATGGTGTTTTCCCTGCTTTGACTAGTTCTAAAAACAAGTAACAGAAATAAATCACAAATGTCCCATTTTGTAGAATCGTTTTGTTAAGTTAACAAATACAAATGGAAGGGATACACAAGGGTACAAAGCCTTTTCAACATTTAAGTCCAAAGGTCTGGACTTTCAATCATGGTTTGCTGTTTCGTTCACCTGGTTTCCTTATCATTTACTGAGCTTCTCGTATGTGCCAGGGACAGCAGCAGTGCAGCTGACACAGGAACTAGATACCAAGATGTAAAATCTTCACTGGTTCTTTCTTGGTTCTTGCCTGAGAGTTTTAAACTCCTTTTAAAAGCCCATTCTTCCTCTTGTAGTTCTACTCTGGTCTCCTTTTCTCTTCCAACAAATATATCCGAACCTCTCTACTCTAAAATGACATCATCATGAATCTTCTGAAAGGTAATCAGTACACTTAGGAGGTTTAGGCCACTGCCTCTTCTGAGTTTTTTCCCTAATCTACAGCACAAGCTATAGACACCTCTTCCCATCCTGAAGCGTCCTTCCCTTCGCTGCATCCCCTGACCACTCCCCCAATGCGAACTTTTCCTGATGCTCCTTCCCAGCTCCCTCACGGCGCCCTAACCGTGAAGATGAGCAAGTCCTCACCTCCAAACACAAGGTCTCTCTCCCCTGAGCTATTCCCTCTGGATTTCCCAAAGCAGCAGACACATAAATCAAGTATTTTGTGTCTCTACTATGTTTCTTATCCCCTCTCATCCCCTCAAATAGAAAAGCTATCTCTGACACATTATTTTCTTTACATTGGTTGACTTATGACACTTACAGTTTGCTTTCTGATAGGGTTAACTTGTCCTTAAGTAGCTGGATTTCTGTATCCTTCTCGTGGGATGTTAAATGAGAATGAAATTCTTTATCTCTATTTGTAGCCAACAATGATTCAAGGTTTTTAATCGTGTATTTCTCACTTGACAGTTGTTTTTTTAATAGTTCTGATTCTGATTTTACATTTTCTAGTTCTACCAGAGCCTACAAAAAAATGAAAGATTAATTTAATATCATTTTAGACTCACTCTGAAAAATGATTTACCTGACAGTATAGTTCTACAGAGCTGCTTACCCATCAGTTGCTTCATTCTGAGTACTATAATTGAGCAATGATTCTGAACAATTTCCTTAATTATAAGAAAAAGACCTTTGAGCTTTGCTACTTGTACTAAGGATTTATTTGGCTCGAAGACATATTCTGATCCTCAAATACTTTTCCACTCAGGCCACCTTTTTAATATTAAATCCTAAAATGTACCACTCTACAACAATAAGGTCCTCTGGTTTCTTAAATCTGCTCACTCTGCATACAGTCAGGCCATTATCATAGCTTCTCGGTTCCAGAAAACACACCACTAGATGAATGACACTCCAAATAATCATGTCTGAAAGCACACACTAGCTAGTCTAAAGTAATGCCTCTGTTTAATGGAAAGTTCCAGCATAGTAAATTTAAGTAAAACTTAAATGCCTTGAGATTTTTATCAGGAAAAATATTCCACTTAGGAAGCAATGAACAGTTCAAATTTTCATTCATGCCTTACTTTTAAACGGAAAGAATGTAGAAGATACGCAACTATGAAGTCCACAATCTCTTAAATATCCGTCTATTCCAAAACACAGAGCACTTATTTTTATTTATTTATTTACTGGAGACAAGGTCTCACTATATAGTTTGGGCTGGTCTTGAACTCACTATGTAGCCCAGGCTGGCCTCAAACTGTCAGGGATCCTACTGTTTCAGCCTCCAGAGTGCTGGGATTACAGGGGTGTGCCACCACGCCTGGCCAGAGCACCTAATTTATCATTATTATTGCTAGACAAATCTTGGCAAGGAATCTGTAGTCAAATCTGGTTGTCAAAAGCCTGTAGTCAAAAGTAGCTATTCTAAAGGGAAACAAATATATTGGGTAGAGAATGGTAAATTAAAGCAGAGCAGGGGTCAATAAAACAATGTACAAACACAGTTTCTCTAGTTCTTACCCTCTCCAACTCAAGAGTTTTAGAATTCAATTGTTGGGTCATAACATCTTTGCCTGAATCAAGCTTAATGCAGAGTTCTCTAAGAGAAGACATATCATTTAACACTGTCACTTTCTCATCTTCTTGACGTCTCAGCTCTTCTTCTAATCTAGCCATGCCTTTTGCCATTGATGAGATCTGAGATTCATAAGCATGGTGTGCATTTATGTGCTGAAAAAAGAAAATGAAATATGTAAAAAATTAAAGTAACCCAATAATTTTAGGGGCTTACATCTGTGCAGCCATAATTTTACTTTGGAAAAATATGAGAGCTAATCTTTGCATATTTGAAAACACTCTCAGGAAGTAGCTTGCTATTTAAAGGTGGCCTACTTATTGCACAAAAGAAGTAATGTGTAATTATTAATCATGATCACTAAGCACCTCATGCAAATATCTGGAAGACGCAAAGGTGAAAATTACTGTGTCCGGGTGTTGTGTCCAGGCGGAATTTTTGAACTTACATTTTTCCTTTATCAATTCTCTTTGTTATAATGATGTCTTACACTTATCATTTCCCGGCCATTTCCAGTTAGGTTCTAAATTTCAAAATGGGGGTTCATTTTAAAACTAAATATTTTGAGTGTTAAATACAACTTACATAAACTCTATTTCCAAATTTCATACTTGAAAAGTGAAATTATTTTAACATACTTTACTGAAACGAATCAACATTAGACATCTAATGTTGATGTAGGAAGACTTCCTAAGTATCAACAGTGGCAGAAAAGTAAACATGCATTTTCCAATATTAATACAGCAAAAGTAAGTAAAAGTTCCCCTCAAACTAACTATAATAAAAGCCAATTTCATATACCACTTAAAATTTATAAGCAATGACAAAGAACGTAAGACTGAAAGAATAGCTTGAGAAACTTAAAAGACTGAAAAGCATCCCTTCAGCTAGTTACAATATTGTCCACTTTCCTCATGTTCAGAAAATACTCCTTCAACAGGCTAAAAATCTGTCAAAATCATGAAAGCCCTGATTCCTTTTTTGCTTAACAGTTTCCTCTTTAAACCAGGCTGGTGGCACACGCCTGTAATCCCAGCACTCAGGAGGCTGAGGCAGGAGGATTACCGTAATTTCAAGGCTAGCCTGGACTACCTAGTGAGTTCAAGGCCAGCCTGAACTACATAGTGAGAGCCTGTCTCAAAAAACCAAAAGCCAAAGCAAACAACTCCACTCCCAAACCCCCCACCCCAAAACCCAAAAAACAGTTCCTTCTGTTCTCTCTCCCTTTCCTCTCACATTTTCTTTTTTTTTTTTCCTTGGTTTTTCTCCGGTACCAGGAACCGAACTCATGAGCTTGAGCTTGCCAGGCAGGCGCTTTGCCGCTGAGCTAAATCCCCAGCCCCTCCTCTCACATTTTATTGAAAGCAGCAAGGACACCTAGGCCTGCCCTTTCCACACCTTGCTTGGAAATTTCCTTACCTAAATGTCCATGTTCTTCCCTTACATGTTGTACTTTCTTCCCACAAGACCACAATTTTGCCAAGTTCTTTGCCCCTTTATAACAAGGATCACTTTTTCTTGAGAGTCAAATAATATTTCCTCAATTTCATTTGAGACTTCATTGAAAGAAACACTGCATTCAGGACAGTTTATATGCTCTATACATTTTTTTTTGTTTGTTTTTTTCCGGTACCGGGAACCGAACTCACAACCTTGCGCTTGCCAGGCAGAAGCTTTGCCGCTGAGCTAAATCCCCAGCCCTATGCTCTATACATTAACAGACATTTTCTCTTTTTTTCTGAGCTTTACCATAATCACCTTTAATGGTCTTACTTCTACCAATTATCTCTTCAAGATAATCTAGACTTTTTCCATCAGGTATCTAAGGACTCTTCCAGTCTCTACCCACTACCCAATTCCAAAGCTACCTTCATAATTTTAGGTGTTTCTTACAGCAGCAACCTACTTCCTGGCACTCACATCTATATAAGTTTTCTAGGAGTGCTGTAACAAATTGCCACAAATCGAGTATCTTTTAAAACAAAAGAAATTTATTCCCTCACTATTCTGGAGGCCAGAGGTAGAAAATTCAGGAGTTTGCAGAGCTGGTTTCTCTAGAGATTCTGAAGCAGAATCTGATCTGTCTGTCTCCTAGGTTCTGGTGGTTACTGCAACACTGGTGTTGCTTTACCTGTAGACGCATCACTACAGTCTGCTTTCATAGGATGCTTTTTCCTTGTGTCTTCTATGCCCAAGTTTCCATCATCTTACACAGATATTTGGATTGAAGGTCTACCCTAGTCTAGCATGGCTTCATTTTAACTATATTGTATCTGCAAAAGCACTATTTCCAAATAAGAGACTGGATTTTAGCACCTAAATATATCTTTCTGGAGGATAATTCTATCCACTACAAGAGTCAATACTTTCTCTTAAAAGATGATTAAAGAACTATGTCAACAAGAACAACAAAAAGAGCAAAATTAATAGTTAACTATTTCTTTTGGTTTTTGTTTTTTTGGTTTTTCTCCGGTACCAGGAACCGAACTCACGACCTTGCGCTTGCCAGGCAGGCGCTTTTGCCGCTGAGCTAAATCCCCAGCCCCAATAGTTAACTATTTCATATTGATCTAACCCAGGACCCTTGTATTTTAATTGAACACTGAATTATATTATGCAGTTTTTCTTAGTCTTCATGATGAAAAAGAATGATGTTGAATGATTACTTTTTACCATGTATAAAAATTAACTCAAAATGAATCAAAGACCTGAACATGAGAGTTAAAAATGGTAAAACTCTTAGAAGAAAATGGGAAAAGCTTTGTGACAGTGGATTCAGCAATGATTTCTTGGACATAACATCAAAAATAAAGAAAATAAACAAAAAAATTACGTAAGTTGGACTTCATCAGAATTAAATACTGCCATGCATCAAAAACTATCACAATGGATCAAAGGTTTTTTTAAGACCTGAAACTATGAAACTACTAGAAGAAAATAAGGTAAGCACCTCAGACAGTGGTATAGCCAAAGATGTCTCAGATAAGATCCCAAAAGCATAGGCAACCAAAGCAAAATTTCACAAGTGGGATTGCTGTATATCAAACTAGGAAGCATTTGTGCAGCAAAGGAAATGACACAGTGGGGAGACAACCCTATAAGTGGGAAAAAGTACTGCAGACTATCCTGTGACACAGGATTAACTTCCCGAATATACAAGGAATGGAAACAATTTAACAGCAAGATGTCAAAAAATCCAATTTTAAAATGGGCAAAGGATCTGAACAGGTATTTTTTAAAAGAAGTCCAAAGATGGCCACCATGTATAGACACACACATAAAAAACTCAGCACTAGGGGCTGGTGATTTAGCTCAGCGGCACAGCACCTGCCTGGCAAGTGCAAGGTCGTGAGTTCTATTCCTGGCACTGGAAAAAAAACAAACAAAAAAAAAACCAACCAAGAAAACCCAAAAACTCAGCACTAGCAATCACTAGGGAAATACAAATCACCACCAAAGTAAAACAAAACCCACAGTGGGATCATCTGACTCACTGGGGTAACTTATAAAATGACAGAAAAAACCACATGCTTGTAAAGAATATGGAGAAAGGGGCACTCTTACACACTGTTGGTAGGAAGGTAAATTAGTGAACCCATTATAAAAAACAAGAGGCGGTTCCTCCAAACACTAAAAACACAACTGCCATACATATGACCCAAGGATCCCACTACGAGGTTTTATGGTTTAAATCTAAAAATGTCGCCCAAAGTTTCACACCAGAGGTAGGGCCTGGTCATAAGGGGTGGTCGGGGGTGTGATGTGGAAGGGTACATTCGCATCCCTGGCTCCTCGCTTTTAACTCTGACTCTTCGCTGCTATGAGTTGAAAACTTTTCTTCCACTGTGCTCCTCTGCCATTCTGTCTCTGCCTTGGAGCCAGGTAACATGGACTGAGCCAAAGTAAACCTATTCTTTTTCTTTTTTTTCTGCCAGGAAGATGGCAGAACGGTGAGCAGTGCAAATCAGACTTTCTGAGATTGGGAGACCAGATGCTGGAGTACATTGCAACTTGGGGAAGAGAAGGAGGAGGGAGGTGGATCCCCCAAACCCGGGAAGTTCTGAAGGGAGAACTGGAGCTCAGGGAAGAGTGAGGTGACAGACCTCAAGGCAGAAGACAGAGGTGGTAAGCAGTTGCCCTCTCCCTCATTCCCTCCTCATTGGCACACTGCACATTTCCCCTAACTGCTGGTTCATGGCATGAGAGAAGTTCGAGCATATAGAAGTGTGGTGATGGCGGGGGACCCTGGAGGCCTCCATGGAGAAACACACCAGTGGAGCAGAGCAGTCAGTGGCTGCAGACCTTAGCAGCAGCTTGGAGTGACCCCAATTCAAACATCCCCAGGAGGGGTAAAAGACGGGCCACCACTTTGGGGTAGGATCAGCTGAACCTGGGACTAGGCGGTTGGCTTCATCTCAGGGCTCCCAGTGTCTGCGTGATGTACAGCCCTGGAAGACAGCCAGGATCAGGGAGCCGAGGTCAAACTGGCAAAAAACACCCACGGTGCTGTGGCCTGAACAACTCAAACCACAGTCCCACAACCAGAGACCAGAATCAGCCTGAATTTCTGCAGTGTTGAACTGGTGCCCCACCCGATTCCTACTGCAGGCTTGTTGGGAGTATACAGGACCCTGCCCTGATCCTGTTGCAGGCTTGCTGCGATACAATACGGATCTGGGCTCTGTTGCCTCTTTCATCTACTGGTGACATCAGAGATACACACTGACGTGGACACTACCACAAAACTACAAACCCTAGAACATAACATAGGCTTGAAATCAGAGAAATCTCTCTTTTAATTGTATATTCTTGTTTTCCCATGAGTGTGAACACTGTTTTTAGTTTTTTTGTTTTGTTTTGTTCTTATTTTTGTTTCTTCTTTGTTTCCTTCCTATCTTCTTCACCAGTCTCCAAAAGCTTCGGTAATCTTCCTTTGTCCTTCAATCTTACTTCTCATCTCTTTCTCTTCTTCTATTTCTCTACTTTGTCTTCCCATCCCTGTTAAATTTTCTTACCAAAGGGTAAAATTGCTAAATGGCAGGGATATTTACTGTATATAGTTTTCTGGTTTGTTTCAGATTTTGTTATATAACTATAAATCTTGTTCATATGGTTAAAGGTAGCAAATCAATAGTTACCACACTTTGTCATTTTCTAGGCTGTACTAGATCCTATTACTCATTGTACTACATTAGCCAAGGTGACATAGTTGTTCTAATCAGTTGTTCTTTGTATGCCAAGACCAAGATTGTCTCAGGGTCATAAACAATACTATAGGCCAGTACCAAAGAATCAGAGGTGTTATGGTTTGTGTCTAGATGTTCTCCCAAAGCCTTATGCAGTCATGGGTGGGCTTCTAGAGTTTGTAATGGATTCATGGTCCAATGCTGGGATTATGGGTGTGAGTGCTACAGCCACCCTAGGGTAGGTGGCCTGCCTATACTGTAAGGAATGGAAAGAGGCTTGTTCTCTTTTGCCCCCTTCTGCTTCTTGCCTCCCCTTTTGTATCTTCTGCCGCCATGAACTGTCACCTTTCTGCCATGCCACCCTGCCTTAGAGCCAGCTGATTATGGACAGAAACCTTCACAAACTGTGAGCTAAATAAACCTTTCCTTCCTTAATCTTGGGCATCAGGTATTTTGTTCCAGCAATGTGAGAAAAGTAAACAAGATAAGGAGCTAGGCCAAAGAGGCAGAAACTTCTCCTCCCAAATGAATTGAAGAAATAAGCTTTTATGACAGACTCAAAAGCCAAAAGCCTGCTATACCTGGAAGACATCTCTGAAAATCAGTCATTTCCTAAGGAGTTCTTGATACTAATAAAAAGTTATGTATCATAAGCAATTTACAAGCATGAACACAGAAAATAGATTTAAAAAAATAGAAAATGAGAGGAGATGGAAGCAACATGTAATCCAAGACCTCCAGCTCATCCAAGGCAAAACAAGGAGGCAGTGACCTGGAAGAAATCAAAAGCTATCCACCTGAACTCTCGGAAATGGTAACAGCAGAAGTAACAAACTGGATGAATGAGGCTGTAGGAAAAACAAATTGGAAATAAATTCTCAGATAACTAAAGAGATTATGACCATAATGAAGGTCATGGTTAATGAATCTAGAGTAGACACGGATAAAAAACAGAGGAACTTAGGAAAATGATGAAAACCATGAATGCCCAATATAGGAAAGAAATGGAATCCATGAAACAGATTCAAGCAGATATCCAGGAGATTAAAAATTCTATTGAAAGTATATACAGCAGATTCAACCAATATGAGGACAGAATATCAGATCTAGAATACAGGTTGTGGTTAGCAATCATGTAAAGACAGACTTCTTAAAAACAGCAAGGGATCACAAAATAACACAATCCAACAGCTACTAGATGATGCAAAGAAAAATGACTTAAGATTGACTGGAATCAATAAAAAATATCAGGTGCAGGGGATATAGCTCAGCAGCACAAGCACCTGCTTGGCAAGCGTGGTCCTGAGTTTGATTCCCACTACCAAAAATAAATAAATAAATAAATAAAAATCAGGCGTTAGTGGAAAGTGCATAAAAACACAGTAATGACAGAAAACTTCCTAAGCATGGTAACAGAATTTGACACAGGTAAATGAGGTATTTAGAACTCCAATTAGGCATGATAAAAAAGAAAATCTATACCAAGCCATATAACAGTCAAGATTCCAAAAATTCAAAACAAGAACAGAATATTAAAAGCTGTTTGAGAAAAGAAACAAATCACCTATGAAGGAAAGCACCAGTCTACACTCCCACCAACAGTGGAGAAGGACTCTTTTTTTCCCCCCACCCCCACCCCCACCTGCATTTGTTATTGGTTGATTTCTTGATGATAGCCATTCTTTCTGGAGATGGAATCTCAGTGTTGTTTTAATTTGCATCTCTCGAATGACCAATGATGTTGAACATTTTTTTCATGTATTTATTTGCCATTTGTACTTCTTCATCTGAGAATTGTTTATTCATTTCAGATGCCCATTTTTTGACTGGGTCATTAAGTTTAGGGGGGGGTCTGACTTTTAGAGTTCTTCATGCATTTTGGATATTGGCCCTTTGTCTGAACAAAAGCTGGCAAAATTTTTTTCACACTCTTGGGTTGTCTCTTTGCTCTGTTCATGGTTTCTTTTGCTGTACAACAGCTTTTTAATAGGATGAAATCTCAGTTGATTCTTTGCAATATTTCCTGCACAGATTGGGGTTTTGTTCAGCACAAGCACCTGCTCACATTTATGTCTTCAAGAGTTCTACCTATTCTCTTTCCAGCAGATTTAGCATTTCTGTTTTAATATTTAGATCTTTGATCTGTTTTTATTTTAGTGTAATGCCTGGTGACAGACATGTCATCATGTCTAGTTTTAGTTGTTGGCTTGTGGAAAGCCAGCTTTTCCAATAATGGCTAAATCTTGAAGCAGCTTATATGTCCATCAACAGATGAATGGATAGAGAAATGTGGTTATTTACACCCAATGGCATATTCCTCTGCCATAAAGAAAGATAAACTTGAGTTATTTGTAGCACAATGGATCCTGACACCACAGTGTTAGGCCAAATAAATTAGAAACAAGCTAAAATACTTAAGTTTCTCTTATATGAGAAACCCAAAATATAAATAAAGAACAAATGAAAGACAGATGATAAATAAGGAGCTCTTTCTCATACGGAAAGGGGATCAAGAGACAGATTAAAGGGTGAGAGGGAGAGAAGAGGAAGAAAAAAGGAATGAGGATGTGTTATGCACATACACTACACAGAAGGGGTGTGAACATTATGTAGTGCAAACATTTACTAAATGAAGTAATTTAAAACTATTAGAGGAGGATTTAGTTCTAATATCCAATAGCACCACGGCATAACTAGTCTACAGCAGTTTAATATATATTTAAAAATAAGAGGAGGAGAATCTGAAGATTCCTAACACACAGAAAGTTCATATTGTGGAAATGGAAATGCTAATTACTCTGTTTTGATCATTATATACTGTACACGTCATATTCCATAAATCAATATAAATTTACATGTTAATTAAAAAACAACCTAACAACAGAGTGAACAGAAGACCTCTGTAATGGGAGAAAATATTTGCAAATTGCATATTTAATAAGGTATCAAAAGATGAATGGACAACAAAATGCAATACCCTTATAATGGAATATCATTCAACCTTGAAAAGTAATGAAACATATATAACATGGATGACTGTTGGAGGTAAAGTGAATCTTACGGCTAAGTGAAAAAAGTCAGCCACAGGGACATATACTATATAATTCCACTTATCTGAGAAACCAAGATAAGTCAAATCCATAAAGACATAAAATAGACTAGTAATGCCAAGGGTAGGGAAGAAGAGAGTGTAGTATCTAATGTATTCACAGTTTTGGTTGGCAAACATGAAATGTAGTAGAGATAGTGGAGTGTGGTAGTGTGTGCCTGCAATCCCACCTACTTAGGAGGCCCACACAGGAGGACTGCAAAATTTGAGGCCAGCATAGGCAACTCAGTAGACCCACTTCATACGTAAAACAAAAAAACAAAATAGGTAGATAGAGGTTAGGGATGTAGTTTATGGTAGAACACTTGCCTACCATGGGTTCAGTACCCAGAGTTATCAGAATTAATGACAGAACATTACCATTGAACTTGATTACATCAACGCTATATCCTCATCTCAATAAAGTATCTTTGAATGTTTTCTAAATAATGCCTTTACTAGACAAACCAATGCATTACCTCCTGAATTTCTTTTTCTAATAGGTCCACTCTTTCTCGAAGGTGTCTTCTCTCTGTGTCAATAGACAGAAGTTCCAGTCTAACTGAGCTGCTTTCTCCTTCAGCTTGATGAGCTTTGATCTCCCAGTCTTCAGCGCAGTTATGAAGCATCTGAAATCTATCTAACAAATCTTGATTTTCTTGCTCCTGGTTTAAGCATGATGAAATGATTTCTAAATTAGTAAACGATCATTCATAGGAACACCTGTGTCATAAAAACATATACACATTGGGAATTTTGTTCTAATTTAAGAAGCATCGGATATCTGTGCAGGCAGATATCTATGGGAAATATGATATGATCTATGGGAAATATGGCAGTAGGCAAAATCTATCGGAGAGAACAAACACACACAAAAACTCAATGTTCAACAGAACCTAAACAATGTTTTTCACCTTAGCAGCCATTAAGCTCTCCCATCGGGAAACTTCAGTTATGTAATTATGAACTCTACTCTTCATTTCTTCCTTTTCGTGCACTGCAGCCTCCAATTCCAATGAGATTTCCTATAAATTAGAAATTGAAGACAGTTGTACAGCAAATACAACATCCCAAATGATGCCTATTTATGTTCAAATAATTCCTTTGGAACTGGAGAGAGTAAAAAACAGGAAAACTGTTCAAAGGGTTATTTTTATGTATTTTTCCTAGCAGATAACCCACCTTTTTAACCCACCTTTATCACACATCTCCCACAAGAGTCCTGACCATGTATCTGGTTTGTACAATACGGGTTAATAATGGTCAAAAGCTGACCTTTAAAAAAAAATTCATATATCAGCAATATGCTTTGTTAAAAAGTACTGAAAGTAATTTCTAAAAACATAAATTATTCAAAATCACTGGTATTCTTGGTATAATGATTTAATAAAACAGCACATGCAAAACCGCTACTCTCCAGTGTTTGCGACTCTAAAATATTCACCAATTTATTTACAAATATATGTCACAGCCAAAAGAAGTATATATACTTACAATCTGTGACAGGTCCTTAGAACACAGAAACGTTTCCCTGTGAATGACACTCATGTCCTCACCCACACTATGACCATGACTTCGGCCAAAGAGAATTCTGAGCTCTTAGCAGGTTCCCTTACAAAGACCAAAATGGTGAGAAATTGGCTGAACCCAAGAGACAGCCTAAACTACAGTGATATATATATATATATTTTTGGCAGTACCAGGGATCCAACTCACAACCCAAGTAGGCACTTATGCCACTGAGTTATATCCCCAGCCCCTTAAACTACAGGTTTTAATACCCTGACAAAACCACTCTTCTTAAAGAATTAGTTATGTTACTTATATTTGTATCATTACATTTTAGAATAAAATAGTAATTTAAGGCTTTAATAATTTAGTAAACAACTAAATGCCATACTATGAAATGATCAAAGTTTACGTATTATGCCAATACCTGATTTTCTCTTGCCACTGTAGCCAGATCATCTTGTAATCTTCTGTTTTCCTTGAAAGATATTTCCCTAGACTTTCCTACTTCATCAAGTTCTTTGAGAGTTCCATCAAGCTGACGCCGGAGGCTGCTGATTTCCCGGTCTCGATTACTCAGTGTTTCCTTTAGTTGGCTGTTAAAAGGTGATATAGAAATAATAAAGCTCTTGAAAAACTGTATTTCTTTTAAATGAAAACTGCTGTAGCCTGAAAAGTATACTAAAAATAAACTCTACAATTATAACTGCTACATTTAGATTAATTAGCTTATTTTAGATTTCTAACAATCATTACATGCAAATGAAGCCATAAAACAAATTTATTATTCCAAAAGCCACATAAACACAGAAAATTTCCAAGTGTTAAGTGCTAAATGTAATAGATTTAACGGGCAAATACTGAATAAATGTTTACATTCCCACTCTGATATGAAACATAAAGGAATGTAATAGAAGTGTTAATTAGTGACTTTTGTCTTTGGAAAGACTAGATATAAGTAGGCGCCCAGAGGGAGGGCCTCCCGTGTACAGGGAGTCGCGGGCGGGGAGCACCTGTCTGGCTCCCTGCCTCATAGGCGCCCGGAAGGTGGGGCCCAGTTGCATAGGGAGCCATGGGCGGGGAGTGTTGGTCTTCGGGCTGGCTCGCTCCCTGTCTCATAGGTGCCTGGAAGGAGGGCCTCCGGCGCACGGGGAGCCACAGTCTTCTGACTGGCTCGCTCCCTGCCTTGTAGGTACCCAGAAGGAGGGCCCCTGGCGCAGGGGGAGCCATGTGGCGGCGAGTGCTGTTGCGCGGCGGCCTTCAGGCTGGCTGCCGCCACTTGATGGAGAACAACCATGACACGGAGGCACAATGACATAATTGGCCCACCATGCACTGGCTACAGATGCCCACCCACAGATGTGTGTGAATCATTCAAACATGGAGAAACCCCTGGGAATACATGCCATACAACGGGTCACTCTTGCTTCTGCCATTGAGAACCAGAAAGATCCAGAGTCAGCAGAGGAGCAGCTGGTGAACAAGGACTCGGAGAACATGAGAATGCAGACTAAGCCCACGGAGTCAGAGGGCCTCTGGACTGTGTTCATGAAAGCCGTTCGGAAGCTGTAAACCAGGAGGACCTTGCACAATACCTGCAGAGACTCCCTGGAAGCCATTCTTCCCCTGACAGTACAGGCTGTGGTGGAGCTGACAGTTGGGGAGAGGACACTAACCAGTTGTGGGGTCCCAATGAGATGGCAGGCTGGAGAGAAAACGCTACAAAAAATGGCTTTCGCCCCAGACAGCTCACTTGATTTTTGACAATTCTTAGGCTGTCACTACTTGTTAGACCCTTCTTGCGTATCTCTGTCTTCCTGAGAAACCACTTTGAAGATACCACCATGTATCACAGCAGCCTTTGATATTTTCTTACTAATCTATCCACAACTCTGCAATGTTTGTATTGTTCCTATCCTATTTCGTAAATGGATGCATGTCTATTATTATGTGTTTCCTACAACAACCATTGAGAAAAATTAATGATTATTCAATAGGTCTATTTATTTTCTTTAGAAGCCACTTTGAAGATACCGAAGTATAGTACAACTATTGATAATCTCCTACCTCTTTTGTCTATAACTCACTATTATTTGTCTATTTGTTTTCCTGAGAAACTATCTTGTAGATAACAATATGTAAAACAATAACCATTGATAACTTCTAACCACTTTGTCTGTAATTTGGTAAGCCCCTCCATTATTATATTATCCTTCTTTTACTCTTTAAAATAAATAAAAAAAAAAAGACTAGATATAAAATATAAAATTGTAGGCAGGAGCAGAAGCCCATGCCTGCAATTCCAGGGAGGCAGAAACAGGTTCTAGTCCCACCTGAGTTCCAGATTGTTTCAAAAGAAAAAGTAAAAAGGGCCAGGGATATAGCTCAGTGATATAGTGCCCTTGGGCTCAAATCTCACTATTACAAAAAAAAGAAAGTAAAATTGGAAATAGTGCTCAAGTTTAGAATGGAAAGTAACCCAAAACTGCCTATTAAAGTAAATTTTAATGATTAGGATCTGAGTTAGGTAATTACAGTAAAATTCAAAAGCAAGTAGAAATGTAAATGAATAATTAGGAAAACCTAAGTGTTTGGATGTGGATGACAGAGGAATTAAAGGATGACACATTTTTAAGGGAGAGACTGAGGAAATGATGCTGTCACTGACAAAAATGGGGAAATTGAAAAAATAAATTTTCCTATTACTGAACTGCTACTAAATAAAACTACAGTTACTGAAAACGTCTTAAAAAGCTGAATGTCATTTCATGAATTACTTACTTGAGAGATAATTCATACTCCGAGATAGTTATCTTCATCTGAGCAACAGCTTTTTCCTACAGAAATTATAAAAATATGTAAGATTCTAAACCTTTCATATAGAAATATCTTTAGCTAAATTTGTATAATCTATCACATTTGTATAGTTAGGTATATAGTTTAATCCTATAAATTATGCAGAAAAGAAAGCTCTAAGTAAACATATTTCCAACCCCCATTTCTACCTTACACACTGGTATGTTTCTACCCACCCTAAGAACTTGAATGGTTTCCTTAGTTTGCTTTAATAAGAGCTGATAGGGGCTGGGGATTTAGCTCAGCGGCAAAAGCGCCTTCCTGGCAAGCGCAAGGTCGTGAGTTCGGTTCCCGGTACCGGAGAAAAACCAAAAAAATAAGAGCTGATAAAATCACCTTCTAAAAATGGATATCCCATGTTAAAGATTCAAATTATTGAGATAAAAAGAAACTTAAACATATTAGAAAGCCGGGCATGGTAGTGCACGCCTGTAATCCCCACACTTGGAAGGCTGAGGCAGGAGGACCATTGTGAGTTGGAGATCAGCCTGGGCTACCAAGTCAGCTCAAGGCCAGCCTGAACTACATAGTGAGACCCTGTCTCAAAAAAGACAAAACAAACAAACAAAAAACCGTATTAGAAGACATGGTCTTGGATCTGAGGAACTTACATGTGGTAGTAAGAACTGCATACTCAAACAGAATAAAACAATCTTTTGATGCTGAAAGCATACTTAACAGTCACATACTTTAGCAGCCAGGACCTCCTGCAAGTTTGCGATCTTTTCTGTCTTATCATCCACTGTCTCCTGCAGGAAGTCTTTCTCCTTGTCAATAACACCAATAGTCTTCTTCATCACATGAGCCTCTTCACTCTGTGAGGTCATCTTAACGTTTAGCTCATCTGCACGTGAAAAGACACATTTGTTGGGCACAGTAAATTCGTGTTAGCAAAAACAAAACTGAAAAGCACTTACCTATTTTTTTCTCCAGCATTTTAATTTGTTCCTGGGCAGATTCAAGTTCACTTCTTTTTAGGGACAGTTGGTGCTGATGGTCCTCAAGTGACCGCTGTAGCTGCTCATTTACGATCCTAAAGAAGCAGAGGATAAAAACGAAGGGCACTCTTTATCTCTCAGAGAAATAATTTTTAAAAATAAGATGTCAAAGTATTTTGACTTATTTTTATTTTACAGCACTTCCAGTGTAACTAATAGCATCATATTATTTCTTACTCTCTGCCATGCTCCATCTTCCTAAGACTAATACAGTATAAAATTTGAGTAAGTACTCTTTTCTGAAAGGTTCTTGACAGTCTTCTCCGTTTCCTCTAAAATCTATTTCTAAATGTGGAGGCAAAAGGAAAGTTCTGCTCTTATAGCACAGCCTAGCACTTCGAAGGACTCAGCATAAACCCTAACCCCAGTGTGAACTCTAATTTGTTTCTTACTCTGAAGAGCTCACAGCGGAGAAGGCTGACACTTCTTGTAGTGCAATGGTGATGCGAGACTAAAGACTTGCTTTAGGGGGTAAAGAAAGGGCGCGTGGAAGCCTGGGCAATCAGCAGTAACGTCAGTTCCAGGGGAGTCTGTCACTGCCCAGGAGGCTCACTTTGGGAAACAGCGTGTCTGAAAGCTGTGACAAGCACTTGCTCTCACGTTGTCATCGAGTCTTCAGAATGCTTTTTCCCTTTGAGCCCGGAGTTCTCTCAGCCTGGCCAGAAAGAGAAGGCTCCACTCCAGGCTACTGGTCAGGTTTCTTTCAGTTTTCCTTTGAGGATAAGACAGGGAGGAAGACACTACCGGCAGCTTAGCTTAGCACTGCCCAATGGGGAGGAGGCTTGGCTTCCAGAACCAGCAGTAAAATGGAACATTTGTATTGAGATGAAGAAGCTTCACAGGCAAAACTGAGGGATTCTTACTATTCCAATAGAAAGTGAATAGTCCAGAGGTAGGAATGACAGTCACACCGGGACTGGCTTCTTTAGAATTATATACGCAAATCAAAACACATCAGAATCACTGGGTTCAAGCAATATCACTTAATAAAATTCTCTGTGAGGTCCCGTTGACTGTAACACATTCAAGCTATTCTAGAGCTGCTGTCCTGTGGGATGCAACAGCACAGTGGTACCAGAAATGTATTAGCTCATTTAATTATTGAAACAGTTCCATAACTAGAACTATTAACCCAATTTTACACAAACAAATACTAACTTGTCCAGAGTCACAAAACGAGTGAAGGCAAAGAAAAGATGAAAATCTAGGAGAGCCTAACCTGTTATCAATGTTGGTCTACTGTAGCATATTGTCCTCCACACACTATATAGGGAAGCCAATGTTCTCCATGTGGAAAACGTCTATCAGGAAGCTAGATTCCTTCCAAAAATGGGATGGCCCACAGAGTACTTAGTGGATGTTAAGTAGCGTGCAGTGCTTGAAACTCTAGGCAGAAATTTAATCATCTCTTTACTCACAACTCATACACACAGTAATCTTCTGATGAAAGCTGAGTTGGTAGATACAGGCAGATTAACATCTTTATTATTACACATATAAAGGAAGCCCCTGGATGAGTCCTAAACACAGCTTTGCCTTTTTAAGTTCAAGTAAAGACAGGAAAAGCAGCAACAGAGCTTGCGCATCAGGCCCTGGGGTAACCTTTCTGACTGAGTACTGTGACAGTTCACCTTCTTCGTTTTTGAGATAGGGTCTGTGAGATGGGGTCTCTGTGGAGCCCAGGCTGGCCCTGATCCCCACTTCCTGCCGTGGCCTCTTGCACGCTGGGATTATGCTGTGCTCCACCACTCTCCACGTGCCACGGCTAATCCGGATCGTCACTCCGGTTGTTAGAGGGCCCTACGAGAGCAGTGAAGCGCATTTCTGGGTGCGTCTCGCTGCTCATGGGCTGGAACCTTGGGGACTGTATCTGGCCCACGGCCCCTTCACACAGGCTCTTCCCCTCGTGCTGCTTCCTGGTCCCCATGCTGTTGCTACCTTGGAGCCAGTCAACCATGGACGGAAATCTCCAAAACCGTGAGCCAAATAAACCTTTTCTGCTTTGCATACGTACGTGTGGTATTTCATCCCATTCACAAACAGCTAACCAGTGTTGTTACCAAGATAATGGTTATCTTTGCTCTTTCTTTTTAGTACTGGGGATGGAAGCCAGTGGCTCTTTACCACTGAGTTACATCCCTAGCCCTTTTTAATTTTTGTTGATTATTTATTATTAGCACTGAACCCAGGGTCTTCATACCAAGCTACATTCTCAGCCCACTTTTTTATTTTTATGTTTTCAGCTTTTCAGAAAGGATCCCACTAATTGCCTACGTTGCCTGGGCTGGCGTTGAACCTGTGATCCTCCTGCCTCAGCTTCCCAGAGTGCTAGGATTAACAAGTATGTGATACATGCCTGTCTTTAATTTTTATTTTGAGACAGGGTCTTGGGAAGGAGCCCAGGTGGGACTCAAATTTGTAATCCTCCTGCCTCAGCCTCCCTCAGTGCTGGGAAACAGGTGTGGCCGCAGCTCCTAGATGGTAAAGGTCTTCTGAGTGCAGACCTGGGGTGAGGATCCACAGGGAACAGCTGAACAACTGCCTGATTATGTGTTCATAATGGTGTTTGGAAATGAAACTGTGAGGACTAGGTTGGTGGGGAGACAGGAGTAAGTTCAGCTTCAGAATGCTACACAGCACAGCTAGGAGGAACAGCGTCCTACTGGGGAGAGCAGTAAGAGCGACTCAGGGTCGGGTCCTAGCTCTCCACCTGACAGACACGGGATGGTTATGTTCATCTCTTGAGACTCAAACCCCTCAGGTGTGTTGTGTTACACGGTGTCACACACGCTCTCATTTTATGGACACAAGTATTTCCTTTCATGACACAATGTATTTTAAACAAAGACAGCATCTTACCTGGTCCTTTACTCATAAGAAGTGTTTAAGTTCTAAAATGGAGCTGAAGCACCATCTAACAGAGGTCAGCTTGGAATTGTGATGGGCTAATAGGAGAAAATGTTGATGTGGTATCTGTTTTATTTTGGATTTCTCCCCCGAGTCTCTGGGTATAGCCCACCATTCCTCGAGCCACACTATTAGTAAATAGCATCTCCTGGTACACCAAAGACGGAAGAGGAATTTTGATTGGTTTTCTTTTACGTTTCTGCAAGGGGGTGGTGTCCTAGTTTACTTGGATCCTTCAAATTCTTGCTCAAACAGTTTTTACATGTTTAAATGATTAAAAATACTTTTCAACCAAAACTTGTGAATTTGTGACATAATAAAAGTATACAAAGTCCAAGTTTGTGTCTATAAATAAAGTTATATTAAAACACAACCACATTCCTCCATTTATAGATTGCCTACAGTTAATTCTGAGCTACAAAAGCAGGGTTATGTAGGTGTGACAGAAACTGTATGGTCTTAGAACACGGACAGTTCACACAAAGCTTGCTGATCCTGGCTCTATAGCTCCCCTAGCTTGCTCCGAGGAGCAAACAGGCATCTTTCCTGGGTAGAAAGACACTCCTTTACTGCATTATGGAGTTTTGATTTGGGCATAAAATCCTAGGTCTCAGTAAATCCTACATTTCAAGGAAGACAACAGTCATCTAACTTTAAAAAGTTACAGCCCCTGACGCTACATTAAGAGACCAGACCAAAGACCATCTCAGCAATTAGAGACCGTGCCTGACACAGAAAAGCCTTTTGGGAGGTACTGAGATTTGGTAAAAAATACCTGATGCAGGAGGGAAAGAGAGGAAGGTCCGTGAGGTGGATGGAAGGGAACATGTGCCTCGCCTACCTGACAGTCCATTTCTCACGTGTGCATCACAAAAAGGAGAAGAGAACTGACTCAATAAGAGGAGTAGCAAGAGCTCCATTATGCATCTCAAAAGTGGGACCAAGTCACTTTTATGTCAGAGCCAAATAGTTATGAAATCATGCAATACGCCCAGGTTATAAAGGACAGGACAACTCTCACAGTCTCCTGTAGCGCAGTGACTGAACGACTCCCGGGTGGGGGAGAGGCCGACTGAGCTCACAAGAGCAAAGGATATTAGCATAAGAAGAAAAATCAAGCAAACAAGTAATGTAGCTATATTCTGAAGAAAAAGCAAAGTGGACTAAGTGCCAGACATAGTCAGCTGGATACACAAGTAAAAAGGATACATTAGTAATTTTTTTTTTCCTTTGGTACTAGGGATTGGGCCCAGCGCCTCATGCACGCTAGGCAAAGGCCAAGGCAAATGCCATATCCCCAGCTTTTGATGTTTTGAGAGAGGGTCTTGCTAAGTTCCTTGCCCAGGTTGTCCTTGAACTTGGCTCCTCCTGCTTCACCTCCTAGATCACTGTGATTTCAGGTGTGCTCCACCACACCTAGCCAGATCAGTGATTCTGGGAGATACAAGCACACCATGATATCCTTACTTGGAAGGTGAATGTAGACATTAATCAGAAGAAGAGGGGCAGGCCCACGCAGGTTTCCTTCACACAATACAGACAGTGCTCGAAAAGAGAGATGAGGGTGGGGGGCGGCGGCGGGGGGAGGGGAGCAGAGCAGCGGGGCAGCGTCTGTTTCAGTTCTTCCTAAAGTCTATTTCATAAAGACAACTGAGCAGTGCAACTGAGGACGCCTTGTACGAGTCCCAAACACAGTAACCCTTAACTGCTCACACAAACCAGCGCTTCATCTTAGCGCTTCATGCTGTCTCACAATCAGGTTAACACTTAACGAGCGACAGTCTCAGGCTTTTCCTCTAATTATTCCTTTGAGTCTCACCTTTGCTGGCTTATTTACACATACTTCTGTGACTTAGTTTCTGCACAGTGAATGTGTGTCATCATTCCTTTTGGCCCCGAGTTCTAGACAAATTTCTTGAGCTTGTTTTCGACTTCACCAACTCAAGTCTTTTCTTTTTTTGGTACCGGGAATCAAACTCACGACCTAGCGGTTGCCAGGCAGGGGCTGTGCCGCCGAGCGGTACCACGGGCCACCACGTCAGTTTTCTGCACCAGCCCATCTACTGTTCAAAAACCCTTTTGCTTTAATAGGTCGATTTCTTTTAAAATTATCATTACAATCCTTTCTGAATGCTTCAGTCTGATTTAGTTTCAGAGACATAATATCCTGTTGGCATCTGAAAATCTTTCCCTGATTCTTGCTGTAAATGTAAGTGACAGATCTCCTCTGACTCTTCCGCATAGTGCTTTTCTGCTGATATTCAGTATCTTTACTTATAGCAGATACGCAACCGAGAAAAATGGATTTTGTCGGTGTTCTTGTTTCCTTGAGTCTTATGTGTTCAAAAATGATTAATGGCTAAACAACAACTTAGTACCCTAAGGCATACATTCTGCATTATCACATCTGTCTCCCTTATCAGTCAATATAAATCAGACAAGTCTTCTGATCTTATGTAAGAAATATTTCTGCAACCTGGCCTCTGTTCCCCACCTTCACTGCCACCGTTTTCAGTCTGGATCTTTGGACTCTACCACCTGTCTACAAACTCTTGTTCCATATTTTTGTCAAACTTGGTCTCCCAGAGGGTACACTACTCATGGACTCTCTTTTGTTAAAAATTTGTTTCTAGGGTGGAGGTGTAGCTCAGAGGTACAGTGCTTGTCTAGCAGGCTCAAGATCGTGGGTCCAATTTCTAGCCCTACCCACACTCATACATTAAAAAAAAAAAATTTCTAAGCTGGACAGGGTTAAAAAGTAGGAGTAGGAGGTAATTACTCAGATTTTACATTTCTTTGAGAGAGACAAGAGAAACAAGGGAAATGGCATGCGTAGAAACAATTCTACAATTTTCAGCAATCTTATGCTATAGAGAAAAATTATCTGAAGCAGTCATTAAGAATTTTAAAAGGAGGTAGGTACAAAAATCTTGCCTACAACATATTAATTTAAGAAAGTTTAAAAAAATATAGATACCCAAATCACACCCAGATTTATTCAGCAAATTAGAACATCCAAGATCTGCCTCATAACCCTGACTTTTCAAAAGCTCCCAGGTGATTCTGCTGCAAGACCAAAGGTACAGTCTGAAACTCTGTGGACATGAACCATATGCACCTAGAAAACGTTTCCCCGGAAGTGAAATAACAAAAGCTCTAATAAACTTACCTAAGGGAGTTCACCTCTGTTTTCTGATGGGATGAGTCACCAGCCACATGGCTAAGCTTTTGAGCTTGGAGTTTGGATTTGTTCTCTAGTGACTCTATCGTTTCTTTCATTATTAACACTTTAGATTGTAATTCGTATTTTTCACTTTCAAGCTAAAATTTAAATTTCAAAAATTAACAGGCATATTTATAGGGTCTCTACTTTTCACAGGCACTTTTTAATAGTATTTCTGAAAGAAAAGAAATTATATTTATTTTTTAAACTTTAAGAGTTACATTTATATTTAGGTTCTAGATGTCAGAAGGCACATACTCATTTACTTCTCTTCCTATCACTAAAATGAAAGAAAAGATACAAACAAAAAAAGACAAAAGGGGCTGGGGATTTAGCTCAGCGGCACAGCACCTGCCTGGCAAGCACAATATTGTGAGTTCGATTGCCGGTACTGGAAAAAAAAAAAAAAAAGACAAAAGAAAAAACAAACTCACGCAGCAATGGAAACAAGAAGCAAAACAACTCGCAGACTGAACATTTTGAAGACTTAAAAACGAAGACATTTAGTAGAGTCAACTAAATTATGGAAAAACCGGAGCAGAAAATGTTGTAAACCAAACCGTTATCCTCAGTCTTGTGTTTCTTTTCTTGCTTTTCCTCTTTGTTTTGAGGCAAGCTCTCGCCACGCTGCCCAGGCTGGCCTCACACTAGTGTCCCAGCGACCCCTGCTGCGGGCTCCCAAGCAGCAGCTCGGGCATATGCCATGGTGCTCAGCTCCTTGCTTTTCTTTGGTGTACCACATTAATAGGATTCCCTGAACAATGTACTGCTTAGCTTCACAAGTTTTTGAACTTTATTATTTTACTTTTTGACTTTTTGAGACAGGGTCTCGTTATGCAGTTCAGGCTGGCCTTGAGCTCACTTTGTAGCCCAGGCTGGCCTCGAACTTGCAACAATCCTCCTGCCTCAGCCTCCCGAGTGCTGGGATTACAGGCGTGCGCCACCACGCCCGGCATGGTTTTGAGCTTTAAACAAGTGGTATCACATTGCATGCTTTCCTTAGCAATTCATTTTTTCGTGTATCGTAGTATTTCTAAGATTCACAAATGTTGATCTTAGCAATCACTATTCATTAATTTTTGGTGCTCTGCAACACTGCTCCATATTTCTTTTCTGCTAACAAATGATGGCATGAATTTATCATTTATCCACTTTCCATCCATGGACCTCTGGCTTGTTTTATGTACTCTATCAGAGAACAAGCACTTCTGGCTTTGTAGGCCCCGGAGTCTGTGACGCCCCTCCACCAACTGATAGGCAAAAGCAGCCAGACAACACAGACACAAAGGAGCAGTCCTGTGCTACATAAAAACTCAATTTACACACAGACTGCCGGCTGAATTGCCTTGAGGACCACAGTCTGCTGACCCCCCGGGGGCACACACCTAGAAGGAATTGCTGGCTCTGAGCGTATGCGTGCCATGCTGGATAATGCCAGGCTACTCTACAAAGGACTGTCTTGCACCCCCAGCAGTTACATACACTTACACACTCACTAGCCCGTACTGAACTCTGACGACCTGATGGGAAGGAAATGACTGCACTCTATATGAGGTGGAATATCGCTTTGTATTTATTAGTAATTTGTTACTTTCACATCTTCTGTGGAAGGGGCCGGGGCACAGAAGTACAGCTGCCATCTCAATTAGTGGTTTGCTTTCAATTTATGGTTATGAGGTAAACAGCTTTCGCCATTAGGGTCCAGTTTATCTGTTTCCGTTTAAGGTATGACCTTGTTTGTGTCGGTCTAGCGGTGCGCACACTTTGGCACCACACACCTGCCTGCTATGTGCTCATGGGCAAGGTTCCTTTCTGCCTCAGTTTCCTTGTCTGTTAAGTGAGGACAATATTAGCATTTACTTTATATGATTATGAGAACTAAACTAATATATATGCATAAAATATTGATGAAAGTGTCTGCCCATAGCGAATGCTGTATAAATGACTGCTCTATTTCCCCAAGGTTGAGAAGATTTTTCCTTGCACTTCTTTAAAAATGTAATGAGTTTTAAACACTCGAGGCTGTAAGTACTCTTGAAATGACTTGGGGGTATGGTATATTTGAAGTAGAATCCAATTTTTTGTCTTTTTTGAATGTAAGTAGCCACTTTTCCCAGAAACAATTACTGCATAATTGTTCCTTTTCTCACCAACCTGAGGTTTTGCTTGTATGTTCTGCAGTGCTGGGGACTACGCCTGGGCCTGGAGCCTGCCAGGCAAGCACCCCCAGCTGCGGTCCATCCCGGCCCAGTGGGAGTTACCTCGTATGTGAGGCCGCCTTCTATTTGTGGGTTTGCTCTCCTGGGTTTTATCAGCCTCCATTATCCCCATCTTAATTATAATGATGTCAAAGCCCACAAATCTGGGTGGGTGAGTCCAGCACCACAATTCTCTTTAAGACTTCTACATGACTCTTGGCTTTTTGTTTCCACGTGTATTTTAGAATTGACTGCCAATTTTCATAACACACACACTCACACACATACCCCTTGAGATTTCCGCTGAAATTACATCAAAATTACTCTAGAGAATAACCTTGGAGAGAAATTATTTTTATAAATATTGTATCTGTCACTTTTTTTAATAAACTTGCTGGCATGTCTCCGTTTAATTAGGTCTTCTTTAATGACTTTTAGTGAGGTTGTATAATGTTTTCTGTAAAGAACCCTACAAATTTATCCAGAGACACCTTAATTATTTATTTATTTATTTATTGTCATTTTGGAGACAGGGTCTCGCTATGCAGTCCAAGCTGGCCTTGAGCTCACTTTGTAGCCCAGGCTGGTCTTGAACTCCCAAGGATCCTCCTGCTTCAGCCTCCCAAGTGCTAGGAGTACAGGCATGCACCACCACGCCCAGCACCCTTATATTTTTAAAAGTATGTATTTTTATTTGTTTTGACTGAGATTTGTCATTCATCTGGAATTCAGTGTGCATTTGTATTTCTATGATTTCATATTGTCTAGAAAATAATCAGTCATTATTTAAACACTGTCTCTCCCACATATTCTATTATACGGTCCTCAAAGTGTATAACATATAAATTCATATTCAACTAAATACAGATTAGATCCTATCACTCTATTTTCTAACATTTTAACATCGTGTATTTCCTATCTTCTAGTTTCATTCCAGTAACATGCACTACGTTCTTCAGATGTGCATTCCGGCTCATTCTTGCTTTCAGGTTCTAGTCAAGCCGGAGTGATAAGGATCAGATTTACTCTCCTGCCTGAAAGAACTAAAAAATTGGACTAAATGTAGGAAAAAGTAGTTTTCAAGACACTGGGCAAAAGAAAATGATAGACATAGACCGCCGAGATAGGAGGTAAATGAGATAAGCTTTAAGACTCCTGCAATACGCCTGGTGAGCTTGCAGACTGGGGAACAGGAGAGGGAAGCTGGATGAACACCGGAGGTCACCCTATGTGCAGAAGGTAGCAGTGTGAGTCGAGAAGCTGCAAAGATTGTGGACAAGAATGCACAGCGGAAGCTCCAGAGCTCAGCACAGAGAACGAGGCACCCAAGGCCAGGGAGAGAATCATCAGGAGTAGAAGGAACAAATTCAAGGCTCAAGCAGGACCAGGAACAATACCTGTTTCCACTGGTCTTTCAAAAACCTTACCATTTTCAACACACAGCAGGTAGCCTACTGAAAGGGCTTTACCCCATAGTGAAATAAAATTAGTTCAAGACTATATGTTATGCCGGTTCCACCTACGGAAGCTTAGGAGCAAGACTAAAAAGGATCAGGGTACTTTCCTTATAATTTAACTGCATCACAAAACAAACTTCGAGCATTCACAAGAATACAAACTAGCAATCAATAGGCAAAATTCACAGTGCCTGGCATATAATCTGTAATTACCCGGCATCCAAAAAAAGCAGGAAAATATAACCTATGATGAGGAGAAAAATCAAATGACTCAGGTGATAGAATTAGAAGGTAGATAAATAGCAACAGTGATGACACAGTGATAGAAAGTAACCAAAACAAAACAGAAAAAAGACTGTCAGAAAGCATTCCAAATGATTAAAAATCGTACCCCTAGAGTACAGTTAGCCCGCTATATCCATGGGCTCCATATTCACAGTTAGCCAGCTATGCAGTCAGATCTATGATGGCTGCATGTGTACTGAACATGTACAGAATGCTAAATGCTTAAAATATGCCAGGTGCTCTTTCTCTAAATTATTTACATGTGTTATTAACCTATTTAATTTTCACAAAAACCCTAAGAAGTATTAATTCTAGTAAAGAAATTCAGGGTCAGAAAGGTCAAGTAACTTGGCTAAAGATACAGCAGGAGACAGATGGATCTGAACCTAAGTAATCGGCCTTCAAAGTACATAATACTATATGCTGCTATATAATTTTACTAGCATATTATTTTGTAATTTTAAAAAACCAGTGCAGTAAAGCTAAAATTGACAGTCTTTCACATAATACTATACCCCAAATCCAGTTTGATCAATTACCTGATGAGTAACACATGTCAAATGTTCAATAGTTTTCTCTAATTCTGATTTGCTAAAAGCACTCATTTCCTCGATATTCTGAAAGAGAATTTAATAGAAAATGTTTATTTATATCACATAATAAGACAAAAATCACCAAATTAGGCAATACAAGTTGACTTTTTTTTTTTTCTCTTTTTGAGACAGGGTCTCACTATGCAGTTCAGGCAAGCCTTGAGCTCACTTTGCAGCCCAGGCTGGTCTTGAACTTGCAACGATCCTCCTGCCTCAGCCTCCTGAGTGCTGGGATTACAGGCATGCGCCACCAGGCCCAGCTGGCAATACAAGTTTAGACTACTATTATACTTGTCTTTTCACAAAACACAGAAATGTTTTTGAAAGGAAATCATTAAACATCTCATAAAAACAATACTTTTAGTATTTTTTAAAAAAGCGCAATAGGTTCTCATTTGTATATTCTCTGCCTCTATTAGTGAGTGATTACTGAGAGGACACATACTGGTGTGGATTCATTAATACAGGCTTGTACAGCTCAATCCATATCAGCACAATTACAGAAAGGGAAAAAATCAGCAGGCAAGGCAACAAACTCAGAAGTATGCCTTCAGAAGAGAAAAAATGAAGAAAAAAATACCGAGTATGAGAAAGGAAATGCAAGATGAGGAAGATACAGAAAACAGAACCCTGTAAGATCAGGCAAGGGATGAGAGCTTCAAGCATGAGCTCAGCAGTACAGACACAGGGTTAGTTTCCTGGTTATGCTATCTCATCCAGTGCTTACCGCTGGTAAGTCCAGGACAAGCAATATAATTTGGGATTCACTGAGTTTTTCTAGTAGAGATCAATAGTTATTTATTTAACTTTTTCCCTCTCTCTCTCTCTCTCTTTTTCTCAGTGCTGGGGATTGAACCCAGGGCCTCACACATACCAGGCAAGTGTTCTACCACTGAGTTTATCCTACTTATCCCCCCCTTAAAAATATTTTTGAGACAACTTCTCATTAAATTGCCTAAGCTGGCCTCAGACTTTCAATTTTCCTGGGTCAGCTTCCCCAGCAACTGGGATTACAGGCCTGTATCATTATGCTTGGCTTCATTCATGCTGTTGATTAAAAATTAAAAAAACATCTGGTTCAAAGGATTACTGTGCTGTAATTATTTTATCAAATCACTTATTGTTTATTAAATTATTCAGCCAGTATTAACTGAAAATATACTGTACACAAAGAATCAAGCTACATGCTAGGAGTATAGCAGTGAATAAGTTGGACGGTCTCTAACTTCATAGATACTAGAGTTGATGGAAAAAAAGACTTTATTTTGTGTTGTTTTGTTTTGTTTTTGTGGCGCTAGGGATTGAACCCAGGGCCTTGTGCATGCAAGGCAAGAACTCTACTACTGAGCCACATCCCCAACCCGACTTTAAACAGGGACTAAAAATAAAATTCAGGAATATTCTTCTAGGAAAAGGAACAAAAGGGTCAGTTATCAAAAGCAATCTTGAGTCTAGAAGGCTCACTTCCTATCAGAGATCTGGTCATAAGGACGAACTAGCCAGACGAGGGGCTTGAAGGGATGGAGGACCCTTCCACCAGCCACATAGAAAAGAGAAAGCCCATTAAGCTGCAGCCTTGAGAAAACGGGCTGGCGGTGGCAACAGCAGAAGTCAATTTATGGAAAAGAAGTGATCACTGAAGTCCCTGAAAATAATCAATGGATTTTAAAGTTGAAGTGATGGGATCGGATCTTTAAAAGATGACTCTAACTTCAGTGTAAATGTCTCAACTGAGCAAAATGAAGTCCCGAAGCCTCCAAGACAGTAACATGGGTGAGGGAGAGTGACGACCAGAACAGAATGCTATCAAGAGAAC